TCCCTTCCCTAAACATCATCAACATTCCCTTCCCTAAACATCATCAACATTCCCTTCCCTAAACATCATCAACATTCTCTTCCCTAATAAAGACAAAAAAACACGTCTGTGGTATGCTGATTGTAATATTATTTCCTTCAATACACAAACAACAACATCTGTTGGACAAACGTTTTCCCCTATTAAATAGAAACAACATTCTTTTGACTTGAATGTTTTCTTATTACAGTTAGACACTGCTTACAATAATCTTTCTTATAATAAAGAAGCAATAAACAAACAACATCTACTCGAGAACAATCCGTACCCCTAATTAACGTCCTTTAACTACGTTCATTTCATGTTACACATACTTTGACCAATATACTTTTTATTTACATACACACATTTTATCTGAGGTATCTTTAATACTATGAGGTATTGTTTTAATTTTGTTAATTGGTTTAAAAATTGCAATAAAATAGTTTTCTGAACACACTGGTGACTACGCTGGTTACATCTTATATATATGGGAATATCACTGTATTATTAATTTTGTTATCATAGACACTGTTTGAGACTCAAAAAAAAAAGAGACAATGAAATGAAAGTTTATATCGTACATTAATTTAACTATCAGACTTGTACAGGGTTTATAACTTAAGCCTATTTTCATTTTATAAAACATAATTAATACCTGTTACACAAACTGTGACGATTTTTGACCCAAAATATCCATCTGGAGAGAGACGACACGGATTAGGATGCTGATTCTGGAAATAGCCTGCCATTATACACTCCTCAGCACTGAGGAAATATGAAGTCTGATAGGAGAGACAAAAACATCATACATTTTCTTTGATTATGTTTCATTTTACAAAACAAAAACTTCCACATATAAGACAATGCATCAATAAAATAAACTAATATGAAGAATATGTACACACAATTCAAACTTCATAATATATAGAGGGAGGATGAGGGGAAAATTACGTCTGAAATATTCACACATCCAGATCCTGAACTGGTGTAACTTGTACAGGAGCACCCACACTCCCTGCTGTAAGATCCTGAACTGGTGTAACTTGTACAGGAGAACCCACACTCCCTGCTGTAAAACCCTGAACTGGTGTAACTTGTACAGGAGCACCCACACTCCCTGCTGTAAAACCCTGAACTGGTGTAACTTGTACCGGAGCACCCACACTCCCTGCTGTAAGATCCTGAACTGGTGTAACTTGTACAGGAGAACCCACACTCCCTGCTGTAAAACCCTGAACTGGTGTAACTTGTACAGGAACACCCACACTCCCTGCTGTAAGATCCTGAACTGGTGTAACTTGTACAGGAGAACCCACACTCCCTGCTGTAAAACCCTGAACTGGTGTAACTTGTACAGGAACAC